CGATGAATGTCTGGGTTGCCGACATACACAATGAACAACCAGCCCACGCAGTTTTACAAGCTCTTTGTCAACTACAACGACTCATGAACATGCCGGTTTCACTTTCAATGCTCTGAGAAGAAGTAGGCGATCTCATCAACGGCGTGGCAACAGTGGCCACCACAGCCCCCGCTGTGGCCTACTGCGCCTACGCCGACTTGGCCTACCCCGCCGACTTCTTGGACGACGATGCCCTCTCCTACACAGATGCCACCGACTCCCGCTCCGAGTTTGCCCTTCAATCCCGCACCGCCGCATCAACCACGACCGCCTTGGCAACCGAACGGCGGCGACAAGGGCAACAAAGGCAAAGGGAAGAAGGGAAAGCTCGGAAAAGGAGGCAAGAAATAGGGACAGCGCGGCCCAGAGTCACAAGGCTCTGGAGCCGACCATCGAGAAGAACAAAACGAGCGTAGAATAACTACTTTGCCTGGTTGAACATCTTCCTCTTGTACATCTTTCGATGGGATCGGCATCGCTTCCGAAGCGCTACAACATCTTTGCGACAGCGTCCTACTTACGCTGTCATGGGAGATCGATGAAGACTGCGCCAACTTTGTACATGACAAGTTTGCGTCTACCCCGATGGGAGATGTCTCACACTTCGACATCGACAAGGTCTACGACCTCATACACATCAAGGTAAGCCACCGACAGTTCATTTTGCTTATCACGGCGGGACCCCCGTGTCCCGACTTTTCCACGATGAGACAAGATCCACCAGGATACGAAGGTGACTCTGGTTGGCTCTTTCAGCGGATGTTGGAGATCGAACACCAAATCAGACAGAAATTCCCTGGCAGCCCGATCGAGACGGTGATCGAAAACGTTGCCCCACATCCAAACTTACGTGACGATCTCCTTCGAACCACTACACGACTGGCCATGGAGCCTGTCATCGTCGATGCGGCAGACGGCAAGATGGTACATCGAAAGCGTCTTTGGTGGACATCCGCGGACTGGGAGGACATCGAGTTCAAACTCTCCAAATGGTCTTCCTGGTCTTTGACATGGACCACTGAGGATGGATGGCACCACTTACATAACCCGATGGCACCTGAATTGCAGAGACCGATCGTGGCCAACGGGTTCTCGGTTCCGAATTGCCTACAACACGACAAGAAGTTGTTCCACTGCCTGACTACGCCCTCCACCGACTTACATGGCAGGCCCCCACCACAACCGCACAAACACCGTCAGATTTCCAACGAAACCATGGAAGGATGGAAAGCAGATCACCGACGGTACCCACCACGGCAGTATGAGGACCAGTTTTTGGTACACTGGGCGGACGGAACTTCGTCTACCGCACCTACATCTCTCCGCGAAAAATTACAGGGACTTCACCCAGGGTACACCGAATCCTTGGCCTCCGGCGATGAGACCGAACGTGACGTCACGTTGGGAAATTCATGGCATCTACCGACAGCGATTTGGCTCCTTTTCCTCGTTCTGCTGGGGGCCGCGGAGGCCGGCATACCCCGAAGCCCACACGAATGAGCTTTGGGCAAAGTTATCAACTTGTGGAACCACACCAGGGTCCCCTTTGGTCCTCCGCCTCGTGAAGGACAACACGACTACACGCCACAATATATTCCTGGACAGAACACCTAGACTGGGAGCTACAATGCAACACCAATCGTACACCGAAGGCACTTGACCCCACATTGCGGTGGTGTCTGGATCATCGACATCTTGTCCATCCTCTACCTCGATTTCAACACGATGTTATTGCCGAAATCCAGAACCTCGTGCAGGACCTACAAGAATACACCGGCGCTTGGTACAACACCCTACCACCACAGGTTAAACGAGCATATCAACATGGAAAATCAGTCACACAGATCCCAGTATTGATCCACCTCCTCCGACTCACCAGATACCCTCAGACCGAAATATTGTTCCGTGAATTGTCGCAAGGATTCCCGCTCATGGGCAGCCTGACGCCGGGAGTCAACTGGCGCGTCCGACAAGACAAGAAGTACCTCGGACCCACGCCCATCGAAGAGTTTCGGGCCAAAAATCGTGATCAAGGACAAGATCGACAAGAACAACGTCGATGACCACTGGGAACTCATGCTCGACGAGATCATGACAGAGGTCAAAATGGGTAGGATGAACGGTCCCTTCGCAGCGCCGGAATGGTGGCCAGTCCCCTCCGTTGCTCCGGGGCGCCAAGGATTCGACGAAGTCCTTCCGGTACCTCACGACGACCCGTTCATCGCGAAGGCCTTCAGCGTCGAACAGGCAGGGAGCGACGGGCAACGCCAAGATACGCCCGAGGAAAAAAAGTGCATAAGTGGACACAATGCAACGTGCACGATGCATGATCAGCCTTATCACCGTACACCGGACCACTTCGTTTCCCTCGGCCTTGCCTTCCTCGACGAACAACGACAGATGCATCTCCGAGTTTGGGGACATGGCCACGATGGAGCTTATCGCCAGCTTCCATTACACGATCCACGAGAAGCGTATCTCGCTTTTATTGACTCCCATGGGCCCTGCTCTATGGAGTCATAATGTTCTCCTGTTCGGCAAGGCAGCTATAGTATCTGGTCGCACAACAGGTTCGGCGATGTCCTCGTGGCTTATACAGGGCGTCCTCATCTCCTCCGATGACGAGAATCTGGTCCTCGCCCCGTGTCCAGCACGAGTTAAAGCGATGTGCCAACAGATTGACACGTACCTGACTAGAACCGACTCTCCCCCGAAGAAGCACGGAAGATGGCGGGCAAGTGCAATTCCTAGACGGGTAGATTGTTTGGCAAAGTGGGACACGCGCCCCTCAAAACAATCTATGCGTGCGCCAACTCCAACATGTACAACATCGACAAACCCACAAGATCATCTTTGTTGGCACTCAGGGACATTATCTCCCACTGCCAAGCAATGACGATTCCGAGGAACCCGGTGTCCTGTAGCTACAGTGCTATTTACACCGATGCCTACTTCAAGTTGGGAGACCAGGTATACCACCCAGGCGATGAAAACCAGCCCAACTGGAGCTCCGACAAGACGAAGGACATCGAGAACGGATGGGCTGCGGTGTGTTTCCGCCAAGGCGATGTACACAACGCGGCCTAGTTCTCTTACGACCATTTTCCTCCGACCAAGCCTTCATCTACTTGCTTGAGGCATGGGCGGCAATCCTCGCACTGTTGATCTTTGCACCCTGGTTGAGCAACTTCTACTCGCCAGTCATTGGCTCCTGGTCGGGTTGCCACTGTCCGAGATCACGAACAGGGCAACTATAAGATCATAGGCGATATCGAGTTTGCTTCATCGAAGGGTTTTTCCGACTTGCCAGGAATCGATCGTTTACACGAGCTTTTGACTCGAGGAGACCGGTAAGGTCTCGTGGCGTTCGCCTGNNGGTCCTCCGATCCATCGAAAGACCATTTCTGTAAGAAATGAAGGTCTTCTTCGATGGAAACCGATCAGACTCCGAAAGAGTCAAACCGCAGAAAACGCCACCGAAGTGAAAACAGTTGGAAACGTGCGCCTTCAGGGATCTATGCTGAATTAGGTGAAAGCGCTTGTTGTCATATTTTTAAAAAAGATAACCACAATAACGGTAATGACATAATGCTGCTAAGTAATAGCAATGGTAACAAACAGTACTATAACTAAATTAACCACGGAATAATAAGAGTAATAGTAAAAATCATGATGGCCCCCGGGCCCCTTTTTGATTTTAGTACAAGTTCGCGTGTGCCCTCGGATTTGGAGTAGTTGCGTTTGTGCAACGTCTTGTGCGGTTTAGCCGCAGGTCATCGAATTGGTTTGATGTTGTCGGCCTTTGCGATGTGGTGTAGGATGTCTTGGAGGCTGCAAGATCTCCTGAGCTGTTGGGATTTCGTCGAATGCTGATATACATATATATATATATATATATGTGTGTGTATATATATATATATACACGTATATACATATATACATATAAACATATATAGATATATACATGTATACATGTATACATGTATACATATATACATATATACATATATACACATATACACATATACACATATACAAATATACATATATACATATATACA